GCAAATTACATTATAGACTTGCCAATGTTAAGCCAGCATTGTATATTTAGGGTAAGCACAGCTTTGTCATGCTATACTGTTTTAGCCATTGATGGATTTAGTGTATCATTATTTTATTTAGAATTTTGCATTTATATAACTAATTGATATTGGCTAGTAATTTTGGCTTTTCACACATTTCTGTAATACTTTTTTTTAAGTTTATTTATTTATTTTGAGAGAGAGAGAGCAATATAATGTGAGAGTTGGGGGGGGGCGGGCAGAGAGAGAGGGAGGAGAGAATCCCAGGCAGGTTCCACGCTCAGCACAGAACACGATGCAGGGCTTGATCCCATGACCACGAAATGATGACCTGAGCCAAAATCAAGAGTCAGACGCTCAACCTACTGAACCACCCAGGTGTCCCTGGAATATTCTTAATATTAATAATATTCTGTTTATTTTTGACTCATTTGGAAAAGTTACATTTTTTCCAGAAATGTAACCATTCCATCTTAACTTCTACATTTTCGAATATTTTTTCATAATATCCTCTTATTTCTTAAATCTTTGTTGTAACTGCAAACATGGCAACTTCTTCATCACAAAAGTAACTTATTCATGGGTTTTCTCTAATTTTCTTTATCCGTGTTGCCAGAGGGTTCTTTATTATCCTATCTCTCTAAAGTGCTGACAACTAGAATTCTGTTGAACTCTTCATATCTGTTATCAGTTTCACTAATTTCTGCTTTTATTTTTATTAATTTTCCTTGACAATATGGAAAAACATGGCATTATTTTTATTAAGTAAATCATTAATAGTCTTTCCATCTATCATCAAGTTTTATTCTTAATTTTTATCCTTGAATATAACAGACACAGAAATATCCAATACATTCATTTTATTTTTTTTTTTTGGAAGAGAGCTGTGGCTTATCAATGCTGAAGTTTTCAGCCAAGGCTGTCATGTCTGTTCATTTGTTATATATATATAGTAAAGACTTTAAGAGAATAGCATACAATGTAGAAAGGAGTATAAAAATACCACTGACTTTATTTTTTTATTATTTTTTAAAACTTTTATTCAGTTTTGAGAGACAGAGATAGAGCACGAACGGGGGAGGGACAGAGAGAAAGGGAGACACCGAATCCAAAGCAGACTCCAGGCTCTGAGCTGTCAGATGACAGTCCAATGCGGGGCTCGAACTCAGGAAGCCTGAGATCATGACCTGAGCTGAAGTGAGACGCTTAACCGACTGAGCCACCAGGTGCCCCAAAATACCACTGACTTTAAATTCATACCTATTTATATTGAAATACTGGTCCTGTTATTACCTGTGTGATTTTATGCAAGTACT